CATGATGAGATTGCGCATCGATTACCGGGAGCTGAATAATGTCACCATCAAGAATTGGTATCCTCTGCCATGAATCGATGACTTGTTCAATCAACTTCAAGGCACCCAAGTATTTTCCAAAATTGACTTGCGTTCTAGCTATCATTAACTAAAAGTCAAAACGGAAAACATCGAAAAGACTGCCTTCAGAACTCGTTACAGGCACTACGAGTTTCTTGTCATGCCTTTTGGCATCACAAATGCCCCAGCAGCCTTTATGGACCTCATGAACTGAGTGTTCAAACCCTATCTTGATGAGTTCGTCATCGTCTTCATTGACGACATCCTCATATACTCCAAGTCACCAAAGGCCCATGAGCAACACTTACGAACGGTTCTACAAACACTACGTTATCACAAACTTTATGCCAAGTTAAAGAAATGCGAATTTTGGATCACTAGTGTACACTTTCTCGGTCGTGTCATTAACAAAGATGGCATCTCAGTTGACCCCCAAAAAGTTATAGCAATCGTGGATTGGCCACGACCTACTAATGTGTCAGAAATACGAAGTTTCTTGGGTCTAGCTAGCTATTATCGACGCTTTGTACAAGATTTCTCAAAGATAGCATCACCATTGACCTAGCTAACTTAGAAGAATACACTCTTCGAATGGACTGATAAACAGGAGCGTTGCTTCCAAGAATTAAAATGTTGACTTGTGTCAGCCCTTATTCTAGCACTCCCTACAGGAACAGATGAATTCGTAATCTATAATGATGCCTCATACAATGGGTTGGGTTGCGTTCTCATGCAAAATGGAAAAGTCATTGCTTATGCGTCGCGACAATTAAAGACTCATGAGAAGAACTACGCGACTCATGATTTCGAATTGGCTGCGGCAATTTTTGCCCTCAAAATCTGGTGTCATTATCTCTACGGGGAAACCTGCGAGATTTACACTAACCATAAGAGCCTTAAATATCTGTTCATATAGAAGGAACTAAATATAAGGCAACGACGGTGGCTAGAATTTATGAAAGACTATGATGTAGAGCTTCATCACCAGCCAGGCAAAGCTAACGTAGTGGCAGACGCATTGAGCTGAAAGACGACTAGAAGTTTGGCATGCACTCTCATTTCCCGCAAGATCAATGGATTGCCCGCCAACGAAACCGTGGAGCCTACATTGATTCAAGAAATTAAAGCGCACCAATGGGAAGATAAACTTTTGAAGAAAAAGTACGAGGACCAAAGAAATATGCCTGACCCTAATTTCACTATAAGCAATGGGATACTAAAATTTCATAATCGAATTTGTGTACCCGACATTCCGGAACTCAAGAAGAAGATACTGGAGGAAGCTCATAGCTCGAGATTTGCAGTTCACCTTGGCAACACAAAGATGTACCATGATCTGAAGGAACACTACTAGTGGATCGGAATGAAAAGAGATATAGCAAGCCATGTTTCCAAATGTCTACATTGTCAGCGTGTTAAAGCGGAAGATCAGAGATCTGCAGGACTGCTGCAACCACTCCCTATTCCTGAATGGAAATGGGAACACATTACTATAGACTTCGTGGTCGGGCTTCTACAGTCATTTTCGAAGAATGATGCAATATGGGTTGTAGTAGATCGATTGACGAAGTCAGCGCATTTTCTACCAATCAAAATCATGTGCTCTCTGAATAAATTTGCCACTTTATACATCAAGGAGATTATTCGTTTGTATGGTATCCCAGTTTCGATCGTATCTGACCAAGACCCTCGCTTCGTGTCTCACTTCTGGAATAAATTGCAAGAATCTTTGGAAACTACACTAAAGTTTAGCAGGGCTTATCATCTACAAACCGATGGGCAATCTAAAAGAAAAATTCAGACATTGGAAGACATGTTACGTGTATGCGTGTTGGACCTCAAAGGTAATTGGGACGAACACCTACTTTTAGTAGAATTCGCCTATAACAACAGCTATCAGGCAAGTATTGGAATGGCGCCATACGAAGCTCTGTATGAAAGGAGATGTCGATTGCCTCTGTGCTGGACGGAAGTCGGGGACAGAAAATTGTTAGGCCCCGAGATCGTGCAAGTCACAAGTGAGAAAATCCAACCCATCCAACAGTGAATTCGCACTGCTCAAACCCGCCAGAAAAGTTATGCAGATACTCGGAGACGGGACTTGGAATTTCAAGTAGGGAATCATGTGTTCCTCAAGATCTCACCAACAAGAGGAGTGATCCGATTCGGAAAGTGAGGAAAGCTAAACCCACGTTACATCGGGTCATTCGAGATACTGGAAAGGATTGGTCCTGTAGCTTATCGCCTTGCACTACCTCCTGAACTATTCAATATCCATAACGTGTTTCACGTTTCAATGCTTTGACGGTACCTCTGAGATCCACGACATGTCGTCGACTATGAGCACCTGGAAGTTCAAGAAGATCTCTCTTATGAAGAACAACCAGTGCAGATTCTCGATCATCGTGATCAAATTCTCCGAAACAAAACCATACCGCTGGTAAAGGTCTTATGGCAAAATCATCATATCGAATAAGCTACGTGGCAAATGGAAAGTCAAATACAAGCCAAATATCCACACCTCTTCGAAAATTAAGGTACGTCAAGTTTGGAGACAAACTTCTATTTAGGAAGGGGAGAAATGTGACACCTTGAACGTTTATTTAAATATCACGTAAATACTTACAGTTATATATAATTATGGTTGTATGTGGTAATATATTATTTTGACAATAATAATAAAATAAATATATATAATGAGAATAATAATAATGTGTCATAGTAAAACAGAATAATTAATATTACGATGATATGCTATAGAATATAATTTAATTTATTTATTAGAGTCAATGTAAAATTTAGGTAAAATAATAATAATATACATATATGAAAAAAAATAAAAATAAAAAGGATAAAAAAAAAAAAGAAAAAAAGAGAGAGAGAATCAACTTCCCTTTATCTAATGTTTAATGTAGGAGATTTCTGAAGATTAGCAAATCAAACCATTTATTTAGAGGAGATTTGGCAATTGCCTTGAAGAAATAGAATAGAGACACTTGTGCCACCTAAACAAATAGGAGAGCTGAGTCATCTACATGGGGTCATCGTAACGGGATGAGTTAGCACCATGTAACGTGTATATAAGGAAGTGAGGGGAGCTGTGAAATAGTAAGTGACCAAAAAGAAGAAAAAAAAAAAAAAAAAAAAAAAAAAAAAAAAAAAAAAAAAAAAAAAAAAAAGAAAAAAAAAAGAGAGAGGGAGAGGTACGTATATATGAAGGTTGTATTAGTAAGGGAACGGCTAATGGTCAATATTAAGGTGAGTTATATTATCCCTTGAGTCACCATAATGTATTTTACGTATGTTTTAACTTACCATAGTTTATTTTTTACAAGTTATGTTTTATAAATTATTATAAACTATATTAATATTGTAGTTACGAGGATTATTTTCTGAACTCTATTTGTTAAAAATAAAACCCATGGATATGTTTATTTAAATTTTAAAGAATATTTGACTATAACCTTATAAACAATTACGTTTTGTAAATACCACCACAGGAGTCCCACGCCTTGGGAGACTTAAATAACCATTGGCCTCTGTTTGGCCACTTTGTGGTCCTCTGTTTGTCATGGATCCATTGACCTCTATTCTGATTGTCACTTCTGTGACCTCTGTTCTGTTTTGTTCTTTACCGTGGTTATGGTTATGCACATAATTTATGTATTTCAGTTTCTGGCACTTAAATGATTTATTAACCAAATTGAGTTATGTAAATGTTTTGGCTTAACTAACTATCCATGGTTATTTTGTATTCCATGTACTCTTGGCATAATATTTCTTACTTTGTTGTGTGCTTATAGCTGTTACCTTTTCAGGTGACGAGATATAGAGGAAACTCATAACCTCACAAAATGGAACCCGCACATGGATTGCTGTTGAACCACCCTTTTTTTTATCTTCCTTTCTTTTTCTTTCTTTTTTTTTTTTTGCTCCTTTTTGTGCTACTCGGGGCCGGTCACTGAATAATAAAATAATTAAATCCCTATAAATATATTTTATTTTTCTTAAATAGTAAAATGAAGAAAATTTTCTGTTTAATTATTTTTATTTTCGCTTACGCAGTTTAATTTGCTACGAATAGAATAAGTTAGTAAGTTGTAATTCCAACCCCAAGACCCTGAGGTTGGGTCGTGACGCCAAAAGTCTACAAATAAGTTGGTCAGTGAACTTGTTCTTCCTACAATAATCCCTTTTTATGCTAAACCCCATTCTTCCTCCATCTGTATTATAAAAATCATAAGCACATTGTTCAAAATCAAATATCATTCCCTGTTTTGGCTTCCAAGCACAATCATTCTCAGGTTCCATATCTATGTCAAAATGCAACTGAAAACCCATATAAATAAAATCTTAACTACATAAATTAAATTTTTATTTCAGAGACAAAAATACACAATATCTACTCCAAAGACAAAAAAAATTCCAAAGACAAAAACTTAAAGACAACAAGTCTAGAGACAACAAATTCCAAAGAGGAAATCCATATAGGCCTCAATGAATTGAAGTTTAAATAAAAATATATCAAATAAATAATCATAAATAAAAAACAATGCTATACTATGATCAAAGAACTCACTGTCACACTTGGATAAAGAAACAAGAAATGAGAACTAAGGAGTGAGACCCAATTAAGAAAAATCTTTTAATTGGTGATGTTGTCACATTTGATAAAATCCACTAGGAAAAAATTATTTGAGAATGAGTACCACACAATAGTTGAAAATCTTTTGTAGTACATAAAATTATATACAAATCAATGGAAGTAGGCAATTAAGAAAATTTGTTACATTTGAATTTGAATATTTGTATGTATATATAATGGGAGGACTCATTATAAGGTGTGCTTAGCATTAAATATGGATATGACCAAGTCTCTGTTTTATCTACTTGTTTGTTTTATATAGCTTTACATAGATACCATGTGTTCCTTTGTTGAATTCTTAAGCCTTTACACTTTTGTTTTAGTCAATGGTGGTTTGTGGGTATTGTATAAAACTTGTTTTAAAGAAGAAGAACCTAATTACCCAAAACTGAAATCTACAACAGATGGTCCCTTTTTATCAGAATATCAGTTGATTTGACAAGATTGTTTTGTTTCATGAGAAAATGGGTCCTAGATTTCAGGTCTGCCTTTTTGTGATTTTCATTCAAATTTTGGTTGTAGCAGCATCTACCAACTCAATTGATGGTAAGCTTGCTTTTTGAGTTATTAGAAATTTGTGTTTCTTTGTCTATTCCAGTGTTAAATTGAATATCACATACAAAAAACAAAAGGTTTAAGGCCTGTTTGATTGTGTTTTCGTTTTCTGTATTTCTTTTTCATTTGGCAATGATTTACTGTGCTTTTCATGCTTCTGTCCTCAGTATGCTGGTAGTATTTCATTTCTATTTTGATGCTCTATTTGTTTTGTAAATAACTTTTTCTTGATTTATAGTTTGTTAAAAACCCATGAAGCCATCATTAAATTTAGTTCAACTTTTTATCTATAGTTTAAAAAATTGTTAGAATTGGATACAATATCTTGTTGTGAATCCTATAGTCGACCCCAATTGATTAGGATACCATGCTTGATTTGATTTGACTATCTTCTTGTGAATCCTTGAATTATTTTCATTATGCATGGGATAAATTGCTTCTATTTCTTCTCAATTCCAAACACAAAAAATAATTCCAGACACAAAAAAATATTCCAGAGATGTGACGACCCCAAAATGTTAATCGTAATTATAAGTGATTAATTATGTATTGAATTTTAATTATGACATGTGCCAAGCGATTAATTGTGAATTATCTAATTTGATTCGTTGTAAATATCTGTTTAAATTGAGAAACTATCCGTTGTGAGCTCGGCTTTGAAACTGAAATTGGCGACATAAATGTGTTCAGAAATCAAAATTGAGTACAAGGATATGTTAATTGGAATTTTTAGAGTTATTCGGGAAGTTTAATTAAAAATTGATTCCGTCTGATTCGCTAATTTTAATAGGTTGGAATTAAATAATTGAATAGAAATTAGAGCTTAATACACATTTCTATAATTTAATTTAGTGTAATTGAGATTTTATTATGATGAGGATTAATTTAATTTAATTATAAATAATTTATTAATTTTGGATGAATTAAGTTTAATAGTAAATGGTAATTATATGAAACTTCTACTCATCCTTTTATCTCCCTAATAAACAACAAATGTGAGAGAGAGAGAGAGAGAGAGAGAGAACTTGGTTTGGTAAAGCTATTACACTATGCACGTTGTGAGAGAAGGGAAGGGACTTTGAGAATTCAACAAAGAGAAAGAATAGAAGAATAGAAGAAAAGAAAAAGGAGAGGAAGAACATTGAAGAAGAACTTAGGGAGAACTAGGAGATAGCTCATTAAACATAAAATTATGGTGAGTTTTCATTCCAAATTCTTGAAATTAAGGTAAATCTACTCCCCTTCTTCTAAAATATAGGTTGAATTGAGATGACTTCATGCATGAGATAGAAGTTTTGGCTATGAGAATTAGAGTTTACCATGAATATGTCTCAAATTGAAGGAATAAGATAAATTTGTTTTTAAACTTGTCATGCATGGATGATTTCATGAAGATTTATTTACATACTTTGCAATTCATGCATGGGTTTTCAAGATTGAAGGAAATATCATGGATTTTGAGGATTTAAATTTAATCAAGAAGAAATCTTGTATGTTTAGAGTTGTTCTTGAGTAATTAAGGAAGAAATTGTATTCATGAAAATATGGTTATAAAATTGTTTGTCTTGCATGCTACTTGAAATTGGAAGAATAAACTCCATGAATTTCAAAGATTGGAACTCTAAGGTGCATGGATTATGTTTTTGCCTTGAAATTCAAGGGTTTGATATTTTTCCATGGAACTAAGCTTCAATTTAAAGTTTAGAGTTCGTTGGAAGCTATAGATGGTAAATTCAACATGTTTATGGAAAGTTTTGGGCCTTGATTTGCTTGAAATTGAAGTTGAATTGCGAAATTTATATATTTATGAGTTTCTGATTCAGTAATTTAAATATGACTAAATAATTGTAATTTAATGTGTATGAGTCTAATTTAAGTTTAATTGTGTAACTAGTGAACTTAATAAGGGTTTGTATATGATTAGAGTCTTTATATTTAATTAGTTTGGTTAATACATGGCTAAACATGTTTTAATTAGAGGTTAAGAGAAATTAATAATTTAATTAATTCATAATTCTAGTCATCCATATTTAAAAGCTTAAGTGAACTAAATATGTTGAAAATGATTGTGTATCGTGCTATGCATATTTGTGATTGTAGGTCACGAGTCAATGACTGCTTGACCATCCGTTCAGGAAGCCCACTGTAAGTAACATTTCTGTAAAGATATGTTTGTATGGTATATGTTTAAACTGTTATCTGATAAGCTATGGTTTCTGAAATGGAATTTGATACACGAACGAATGTCCTATTTTGATATATTATGGCATCCACAGATAGTCCTAAGTCATGGGGGACGGCATGTAAATGCGGGTCTATGACATATGACTGTTTATGAGATCTCGTTAGCCACTTCATTGTGGTGATATGTTTTTAATCGGTATCCGGAATCGATTACTCTAGTCGAAAGACGATGTGTGATATGTTCTGTGAAATGTACTATTATGTTATGTTCTGATATGAATGATTGTGTCATGATTTGGTTTACAGATATGATATATTTGGAATTCGTTCACTAATCCCTTTACCTTAATGTTATTTATTGGGCTTTGACTCACTGTTTTTATATATATGTATAGGTAAGCGTTCTGGAGGTCAAGTCTAGAAAGGGTCTTTAGCCGAGCTACCCTTTTAAAGCCTACCAAGTTATTTTGAGTGCCTCCGAGTTGGGGCTAGGACTAGAAGGCCATTGTCAAGCTTTTGATTGTGAAGTAAACTTTTGTTATGTGCATATGTTATGTATAAAATGTTAAGTTACAAGTTATGTACAGAATGTGGGTAAATTAATGTTTTTGCATATAAATATTTGTTCATATAGATGCACAGCTCATTGGACTATTGGTGTTTTTGAATATTGTTTCTGCTAGCCCCGATTTTTTTTATTGTACAGGAAGACCTTTAGTAATCTCAGATTACTGGCCGGTTACGACATTAAACCTATAAGGACGAGTTTGGGTTGTGACAAGAGAGAAAAACTTAGAGACTAATTTCAGCTTGAAAAAATTCCAAACATACAAAATGCAGTTCCATCTACTGACATGAAACTCAAATAATCAATTACGGAGATAGAGACAATGAAGAAGACTAACCTCTGGTTTGTGAAGTGAGGGTAGATAGAATGATGGCAAAGCAATGGGTTTGATTTGGGGAGTGGGTCACTGTAGAGAGGGTCTGCCAGTGGAGGAGAAGAACGTGACGGCTCCAGTTTGCCAAGCAGACAGAGTCTGTATCAAGTCGAGAGTGGGTCACCGTCGTCGGATCTGCAATGGCGTCAAGAGTGGGTCGCTGCCGGTGAGGGTGGGTTCGACGAAGGAGAAGGGTGAGTGTAAGGCTCTGTAAGAGTGAGTGCACATCAAATCTGTATAACCTGTGTATAAGCTGTGTTTTGTTTTGAGCGAGAAACTAAAATTTCAATTTCATATATATATATTAATTTATTTTTATAACCGTTGCACGTAGGAAATGAAATAGGATACTCAAGGAGGGGATTTGAACTCCTTTCGAATTGCCAAACACACTTCCCTATTATATATTCCTCCCAATTGTTCAAAATAATAATAATAAGAATAAATTATAATTTTCTTTTCTTTGAAAAATGTTAAAAATAGACTATTGTTAGTATTAAAAAATGTATATAAAATGTATTAAAATATATAAAGAATAATAAAAATATAAGGTGATGTTTGGAAGAGTTTTGGAATTATGATTTGAGAATAGAATTGTATTTTGAGTTTGTGAGTTTTGAAAATTTGATTTGAGTGTGGAAAAATTTTTGGTTAGAGATTTTGAAAAGAGTTTTAAAGAGAGTTTTGAATTGAATTTGAAATTTTTGACGTGATATGTGATATTTAATATAAAAACTTACAACTTATAACCAAACATACAACTCAAAATTCTATTCAAAACTTATAAAAAAAATTTAAAAAATTCAATTTTTTTATTTTAAATATAAAAAATAACAGTGCCAATTGTAAAAATATAAAAAAAAAATAAAAAGTTAGCACTGTTCCGGTCAACCGGCCGGACATATGAGAGAACGACCGGTTAGCCCAAATTTTCTTGCCTTGGAAATAATTTTCAAAAGTAAGTATAGAATTAATTTTGAAAAACTCTAAACAAACAAGACACTCAAAATAAGGAGTGGAAATATGTTGGGAGAAACTAATCAAAACAGTCTAAAACTATTTTGAGATATATATAATGCATATTGAGAATTTTTTTAAAAAAATGACCATGTAATTCTTATTGACAGTTCTAAGAGCTACCCTTAGCCAGAGCAATTTCGTTTCTTTTTCTTATTTAAACAACAATCATATTTTTCATTTATATAAAAATAAAAATAAAAAGTTTTTTCTTTTTATTTTTTGTGCATTTTTTTAGATAACATCAATATTTTTTTTATTAAAAAATTATGCATTTATTATTTAAAATTTGTGAAAATTCCCCAAAATAGTTAACTTGGGATCAATTCCACACCTGGAGGTTATCATTAGTTCAACTGTTCAATGTTATAAGCAGTTTGCTCTAACAGAACCAAAGTAAGCCCTGTCAATGGCTGCAATCTAAGTGGAACCCTAAATTTCAACAGCCAATTTATCAACCAATAAATTTTGCTCTCCTTCATCTACTAAAAGAGAAATCAAAATATGCACATAAAGTGTATTTCATTTCCATTTATACTGGCGAGGAAAAAAAAAAATTAAAACTCTAGTTATCAGCATTTACAAATTCAATGGTGTTTGAGTTTCATAATCTTGATAGTCTGCGCTTGCCTGCCCACTAGAAAGATTATAACCATACATATCAAAAAGCCTATCATCAGCGGATGTAATTCCACCTTCTCGTACTTTAAAGCTCTCTGCTGGTGAGGCCCAAGGACCTGGATTTGAGAAAATTGAGCTCGAAGCATCTTGATTGAGGCTAAAAGTGTGATTTTGGGGTGAATTTCCGATTTGCATTTTGCTGGAGGAATTATTAACTGTAAGAGAGATAGATGTGGACTGCTGTTGTTGCTGGTTCTTCATTGGTGACTTGGGCCGAAGAGATTCTATTTCAGGGGTTGTCAAAACAAGATGAGATGTTTCTGGCGGTGGATTTCGTCCTCCACCTCCCTGCCAAACTTTCCCGTCTTTATCAGCAAAGTTCCTGATATATGCCTGAAAATGACCAATTGATTTGTAAGAGTGATAGTCATCATCAAAGCCAATCAACAATCACAAACACATACATATATAGAAGGAATTAGGGCTCAGTAGCCCTTGTAGATACAATTTGACCCGGAACAGGACCACACAAATTGTCTTTTGATAGGTAAACCATTTTCATGGTTGTGATGAAAAGAAGGGTATAAATTGCAATGTTTTCACCATGCTCTCTGCTGGTTGTCATTTCTTTCAACCAGTTGGGATTTGTGTGTTTCTGTGAATGCAGTCATCATGATTTCCATCAGCACAAGCCAACAACCTTTATCCACTATAAGATAACGTTTTCCTACATTTGATTTTTAACAAGTTACGTTTCTCTTTTGCTCCAATCACTAGTATTAGTTCATAATTTCCACGATCCACGTTTATTTTAGTAAACTACTGCCTAGACAATTAGGCACTTCAAGAAACAGATGAGGCAATGGGCAATAGTTTCAGAACTACAGTTGATTTTTAAATTTTCATTTATTTTTGGATAATAAGCATGCTGAACACTGTACCTCAGCATTAAAATTTGATGAGGATAGTTCTTTTCCAACTGTCAACCAGCCAGACCGAATATTGTGGTCTTCACCAAAGAGCTCAAGCCTCCTGCGGCCTAGGGCAAAATGCTCAATTATCCGATACATATCTTCAGGTTTCTCTGTTGAACCTGCAATCACATTGGGAACAAAAATCAGAATTAAGCACTGGATTATTCGTCCACTAATCCTATATGAAAACACTATCTTCCTGCGAACACAACTTTGTAAGAATAAATAGTTTGTGCAACAATTTCATACAATGTATACTGCACCAATATAAATTAGAACACTTTCCTAAAAATGTAAGACTATTGCAGTCATTTGGAAAAGAAATTTGAAGGTAGATGGAGAAGAAAAAAAACTGGAAAAAAAAAAAATTTAAATCAGAAACCTGGGCAGTTACACAAGGGCAATTTGGGTATCAGAAAATGTGTGACATAAGTTCACACCATGTTGTGTGCTTTATATAATAGTATAGATAGTATAGACAAAATAAGCCATAAATAACGCACTGAATCATATATAGAGAATAGAGTCATTAAAGAGCAATAAACAATTGTTAAAACTAACCATAAGGAGGCTCCTCAGCAATGATCACATCAGTGTCGATGTTGGCATGGATTATATGACCATCGGTACTGCGACGAACAGTTCCTTTTATGCCCATCAAGCAATGTTCCTTCATCATGATGTCAGTGCAACAGTCCAATAAAGCAATATATGCATTCACATAGCAACTTACAGGACAAAATGGAGATCAGAAAAAGAGCCAAACCAGCAAATGCAAAGAACAAATATGACTACCAACCTTTGAGCGCTGAAACAAAGTATGAGAATCATGGCGCAATCCTGGAGTTGCATTAGATTTGTTTGTCTTCACCCAACATATATCCTCACACCTACGAAATCCCCACTACATGAAAAGAAAAGAAAAAAAAATTACGAAGTGTACAACCAAAAAAAAAAACAGCAACTCATAACCACCATAGGCTGTTTCTAAAGACTTCAAATGCATACCTTCTTCAGACATTGCCTGCCCTGCTCAAGGCCAACACCATCACCAACCCAGAGAAAAATAAAAGAAGGTGTGTCAGCTATTGCCTGTAAACATGCACCAAATATGGTTCAGAGAATAAAACATGGGAAGAAACAACATGAGATCAGAACCAAGCAACATATTTTGACTATAAAGCCCGACAGAGACATGTTTTATCTTTTGAAGTGTTGACCATGGCCTCAGATGCAACGTGACTAGCATCATATCATTGAATTGCTATTTAAGCATATGGGAACAATCATTTCATAAAAATGAAAATATATGGGATAGAAAATTAATATAGTAACTTGGGACCAAATCATAGAACTAGGATAGCAGGCCCCGAGCAAACAAAATTACCTCAATCTTCAGATTCATTATTTCTTCAAATGCCCAGTACTCCATATGGTCAGTGACACCAGGAGCTCGATGAACATACCCTTCCCATGGGGGGTCCACAAGAATGACGTCAAACTTAGTCCCAAAGAACTCTGGTGTCAGCACATGCTCACGGAGGTCACACTTGAAATACATAGGAGGGGATGAAGATTTGGCTACAATCTCGTCCTTCTTTTGTATAAGGTCCCTAAGCTTGGGGTAGTCTTCCACAACAGCAGTGAGCTCTAGTTCCCTGATGAAATTCTGAGGGCGAAAACCAGTGTCAACAAAATTTTGGGAGTAATCATTCTGCTCTCCTCTAGAAGGAGCTTTACCAGGGGGTCCACTAGTTCTAGGAGGAACCCAACTCCCAGAAGCTTTATCCTGTGGCTGTCCTCGCCCAGCGGGTATTATAGCATTAACACCAGGGGCAGATATATTTGAGGGTGCTCCTCTTCCGGGGCCCAGCTGATTAAAATACATAGCGGTATTTGGTTGGATCCCCGTATTAGGCGAAAATCTTGGCCCTGGTGGTCCAGTAGGAACAGGTGAGAGACCTGGGGGGACAGCTAACATATTCATTTCAACACCTCGAGGTCCAGGCCAAACAACTTGTGGTGAAAATGGTGGAATAAAAACACCAGGAGAAATTGGAGGACCCGGACCAGGAGACATGCTGGGAGTCAAAGGTTGCATTGGTCCAGGTGGCGGCATTCCAAGTGGTCCAAAAGGTGATCCCATCATGGGCACTGGAATACTAAACGGTTGGCTGTCTCTACCAGTAGGCCTAAGCCTTCCTCCCCTTCCAACTCTCCCTTTAGCTCCTTGTGAAACAGGTCTGTTGAAGGAACCTGGTTCCTGATTTCCATGTGGAGCGTGTGAACCACTACTAGAACTTTGGCCACCACCAGCACGATTGGACATAACACCTTTCTGGCCTCTGGTTTCATCCCTCCAAGAATTCTGATCTCGCATGGAAGTAACATCATCCAAAAATCTATCCTTCGAATCATCACCAAATTGCCCAGATCCGTATGTATCAATCTTTCTCGCTATGTCCTCCCGCAGATATGTCCACTCATCATTTGGTGCCAATTTTGTATCAGATTGCTGAGCAGCTTCGGTTCTCATGGAGAAGGTGGATCTGGATTCCTCTCTTCTATAATCAAAGGGCTTGGTTTGGATCTCTATCACATCATAATTCTCGTTTGAAATTCCATAATTTGACGAAGTTTTCACAGCTTCTGTCCTGCTTGCATCTTTTCTACCTCCAGAACGACCCTGAGGCCTTTCATTATCAGTCCTATCACGACCATGTCTCTGCAACTCCCATTCTCTGCCATGATCATAAGCCATATCCCCATCTTTTGACTCCTTATCATTGCTGGGTTGCCTTCTTTTCCAGTTATCTTTGGAATCTTCCTGGTCTCTCTTCCTGTCACTCAAGCTATAATCTCTTCCTTTTGATCTATCATCCCTATATCCATCTTTTTCTAATTCCTTTCGTTTAAATGTAACGCCTCTTTCAGAATCCATCTCGAAGTTTTCTGATTCATGATTACGCCTTCCACTCCTCTCAGGGGTCTTGGATCTGTTAGAGTGGTCTGCTTCTCTTCTACTTTTGTCTCTCATCCAACTACCATCGTCATCAGTATTAAAAGACCTCTCATGAATTTCAACAACATCGTTGCTTCTCTGCTGTCTGTGCTTCTCAATTCTATCCTTGCCTGATCTTTCTTCACGAGTCAAAGAACTTCCCGCATTGTCTTCTTCTGGAGCCTCTGTCCTTCCTTTGCTCTTACTCCTCTCAGAGTCAATCCTTCTCTCTTCCCTATCGTAGGATTTCAAACCCTTGACACTATATGAATCTAAACCTCTGTTTTTGCTGTCACTCAAATCAATTGTTGTGGATACACTTCTTTCTCCAGCATTCCCACGACTGAGATCAGAAGACTTCCCACTTCTCATATCACATTTTTCCTCAGGGATACTTTCTTCAGTTTTCTTGGCGGCATCTGATTCATCCCATCTTCTCCTTAGGCTTCTCCCCTCACCAGAAGATCCATGATCCTTTTCCCGATTGGTTTCCCTCCTTTCCACATGTAAGGAGTCTCTTTTCAGTGCCTTCTCGAGCTCCTTGTCATGTGATCTATCATCTTTGCCTTTAATACTGTGTGACGAGTCCTGATCTGAGAACTTTAAGGTCGATTTCCTTCTCTCACTTTCATCACCTCGACTATGTCCTCGACTTGCAGACCTCTCTCCACCATCAGGTTTATTTTCTTGTTCTCCATCCTGATACCAACTACTTAATTTCTCCAAAGTGTTCTCCTCTTGTTGCTTCTTCATCTGCTTGGAACGTGATTCTTTTCTTGCTTGGTGATCGTCTTCATCACTGTCTGCTTTGCTTGAGCCACCAGACCTCTTTCGTCTCTCATTTCTATCCCCAGTGTTTCTCCTCTTTCCACTGCCATCTAATCCTTCAGCTTCTTCTCCATTCCCAGGCTTTCTTGACTTGCTTGACATTTGCTTCCTCTTATCATCTCCCTCCCATTCCTCAGTATCTCTGGCTCTATCAATCTGCATATCTAAACCATCCTCTATTTCCCGTTTTGTATAACTCTGAACACCTTCAGGTGAATCCATAATAAGGGAAGGCCCTCAAAACATAGATTTCTCTTCAGTCTATGTGCTCAAAAAATGCAGACTAATATTCATGATAGATTTAAAAGCAAATCATCCTGAAACCAGACATAGAAAGATATGAGAGTCACAATACAAATCAAATTAGTTTTTTTTTTTTTTTGGCCGAACAAATAAAAAAAAATCAGAGAAGGCACATTTAATAGAATTATTAAGAGAGAAAAATTCATCATTCCAAACAGGTAGAAGAAAAAGGCAACTACCCAGTAACTTATGTTGATAAAATCAAAACACTATCACTTGGTGACAATCTAAAACCAACCCCACACTGGTAGTGATGTGATGCAGCAACTGTGGTTCGGTTGTACAAGACATATCCACTTTGGAAGCCTAAAATCAAGCCTATGGCATCTACACCTTGCAAGAAGACCCTTTTTTTGGTAAGGGAAGTGTTTTTAGAGTGGTTGATTTCTTTATATTTTATGTCTTTAGATTCAAGGGCATTTTGATAATTTTTACAATTGTCGGACATGGGTTATCGCTTGGCCCACATGCTATAATTTTGGCCATGCTATGTTTTTGGGTCATTCTCAAGGCTTTCTTAGCAAGTACACAACAATCTAATTAGCAAAGATTTTTTAGTTTCCTAATTTGAGTCAAAGTCATTGTAGAAATAAGATAACCACAATAACCAATAAAAATCTATTTTGTTCTATTCAATAGAAGAAATTTGCTTAGCCCTTGCGAGGGTAGTCCCTTTCCCTTCTTCCCTTTCTTCTTTTCTGTGCAAACTACCAAGACACTGTTCTTGGGTTACTATTTACAACCCAGAACTACCTTAATTTCAAAACTCTCCCAAATCAAAGTGTAACTAAGCCCAAATCCTCCCCTAGCTCTTGGACCCCACTTTAACGAACAATCCCGTAAAATAGCTATGTTGAACCCTTTATTTGCGCCAATTCTGAAAATTAAGCAATCTGCAATTTTCAAGATTGAATCATTTTAAAATTTTCCACCTCTATAAACCATTGAAGATTCCTTCAACCAATTAAAACCCTATCTTTTGAAGCTTTTCTAACCATAAACCCACCACAAATCTCACTGTCGGCAGCCTTAGACCCTAGATTTCTAATCTATTGTGCATCATGATGGCTCCTACTTTCTTTAACAATCCAATTCCAACTTATAACACCTAATAAGACACAATGGTATCATTTAATTTGCATGGGTCATCCAAGCATCCCTAAGTTTTATATTTGTTACAAACAAACCAAGGGAAAATAAATAAATAAAAAAGAGGAGAAGAAAAGATCTATATTTTTGGTCTTAAAATTTCTACCAATTATCCATAGAAAAGAAAACTCCACATGCAAATAATTATCAATTATCACAATTTTATAATTTATTACTCACTTAACTTTTAAGAAAAATCATTGGTTGGGTTTAAAGTCTTTAAACAGAGGATACATGTGTCCATTGTAAGCTCTTACTCAATATGTAATCAAAGAACAGCAATTTTGCTGAAAATATTCAGCCCCGAAGAAGTTATACTTCCTAATTCAAAGTGAAAACAAATCTAGACAAAGGCACAAATCTCTAGATCCAAACTATTTTAAAACACAATGTTCAGTATCACGTAAATATCACACCATCACAAAGAAAACACTGCAAAGATTGTCTGGTTACAAAAATACCAGAACAGCTAACTATCAAACCAGTGTAGAAATCTCAAAAGTAAGTGCAATTACCATTTATCTCCAAATTTAAAATAAAAAAATAAAAAATTATGTCAGTTATAGCAAACATAAAGAGAGAAAAATACAGAAAGAAGACATTTTTGATGAACAGAAAATTAACAAACCAAGTTCATATAAGCAATAGAACATTTTCATCACACAAAACCACCAATAACGATGTGTATGAGAAGTAATAGCAAGCCCTAGAGAGATCAACGCTGCTAAAACCAATAGAAATCGTTCAATTTAGGGTTTAGTTTTAGGGGTTCTGAACCCCCAAGAGGGGAGGGAGAGAGAGAGAGAGAGAGAGAGAGAGAGAGACGTACTTGCTGATAGATCTTGATGGGTTTTGGGAAATTAGGCCATCAAGCCCAAATCTGTACCCGGATCCTGATCATTTTACTTTTTCCGTTCCAATTCATGGTTTTAGTAGTTTTCTAAATTTAATTTTCTCAGAATTGAATTTTTTATTATTCATATTTTTTATTTTTAGTTAATATTTCTTTAATATTAAATAATTTTTTAATTTTTTAAATTTATCGTATTTAAATAATAAAATATTTTTAAAAATTTATAAATACAAAAAAATGTAAAAAATATATTGAATTTTTATTTTTATTTTTATTTTTTGTATTTTTTGGTATTTAGTAAAAAAATTTCACAAATATTATGCTTTTTAAGTGTATTTATGTTAAATATGTCTAAAAAAATTTAAAAAATTACTTAAAATATTAAAAAAATTCATTGAAAATATTAAAATATAAAAAATAAAAAAGTATATAATTTTCTAAAAATCAAAACCAAACAAGTTGTCTTTTTTGAGAATTTAATTTTTTTATAGTACAATTATTACATTTTAAAAATATTATTTGTCTAAACTTATCTTTTGATAGTACATTATTTTGAGAACATCAATTATCATAATTGTACATTTTATATTATTAATGAATTTTAAAAAGGGTAAAATAGTAAATTTATATTATTTTATTCCTTAATTTTTTAGAAGAGACTAATATTTTGAGACAATAAAAAATAAAATAACAGACTAATATTTTAAGACAGATGGAGTACTCAGATCAAATTGGTCAAGTAACTTCTATTGTTTCAAATCAAACCTTTTTTATTTTTTTTTTTAGAATATAAATGGAAAAAATTTGCTTTTAAATAGTTCAAATTTGGAAAAAAAATATTTTTTTTGGTTAGGGGTGTTTTTGAAGTTTAAAAAAAAAACAATTGGTGATAAATTTAATTTAGAGAGTGTAAGGCATTAGATTTAGTGGATATTTTTTAGAAATATTTTTTTTAAGAGCTCTAATAATAAGATTTTATAAGAAAAATGACATATAATATTTTTATGGTAGTTAAGATCTCTCAATATTTTCATCGAGAAAATTTGATTAAAAGAAATTTCTCTGTAAAAATTGAAATTTCTCTAAATCGGACAAAATTTCTCTAAGTCAAATTTTCTCTGTTAAAATGTTGAGGGACCTTAACTAATAAAAATAAAAAAAAAACATCCTAGACCTCTCCTACTACATAAAGTTAGAGAGGGATATTTTACTAATTTTCTTATATTTTATTGGTGAGAGATTCATCATTTGTGAAATTGTTTGGTGAGAAATTATTTTGTTGTTTTGTTTTCAATTTTACCTTTTATCTATCTGTTGACTTTTTAACTATCTATTGACTTTTTGTTGACTATTTATTTAAATTTTATCTATCTATTTCAATTATTTTTTATCTGTTCAATTTTTCCTCTTATCTATTAAAATTATCTACCTATTCAATTTTTCCCTTATCTATCTAAATTTCATTATCTATTCAATTTTCCCTTATTTTATCTTATCTGTTAAACCTGTCTGTTCATTTATTTTTATCTATTGGAGGTCTGATATGTTGAAAAAAAATTGAATTAGTTTAAAAAAATTAAATCTGTATAATTATTATTGTGTTATCTGTGTAAATTATTTTGTTCTTGTAATTTTTTTTTTTAATCTATCTATGTTGAACAGCTTGCACATAGTTATTACCATATGTTTCATCATCATCATCATCATCATCAACCCCAACAAAAACAAAATCAACTAAAAAAAAATGGACATATATACATAGATTTATACTTAATTGAACTTGATTATGTACTAAGAATCACGTATCTGTATAGAAATGACAAACTACTACTATTCTGACGTCGACAATGGCGTCCAGTGCCAGCAAGGGATGGCCTTCGAGATCGTACTGAATCACGGCCTTGACGGGGATGGCGAAAGTGGCGGCATAGCGGTGATGCCAGCGGCAATGCAAGCGAGGGAAGGTGTGGAGAAAGTAGGCGCTGGTCTGGCGGAAGAGCTACTCCATGGCCTTCACGAAGAGATTAAGGCTACAGATCGGAGGAACGTCGCGCGGTTCTAGATCTCCGGCATCGGTACCAGATCTGCGAGGTGGAGGAAGTGGCGACGATGGTGGTGGCAGCGCCACCGCTACCAGGCTTCGAACTCCACTCTGTCTTATTCTCTCTCTCTAGACCCATCGATCTGAGAAATAGAGGAGAGAGAAGCCCTAGATCTAGAATTAGAATGGAGAAAGGGAGAGAGAGAGAGAGAGAGAGAGAGAAAGAGAGTGTGTGTGTGTGTGTGTGTGTGGTGAAGAGAAAAGGCTGAGGTTTGGTGGTGGCCACCGACGGTGGTTACGGCAGCAGAGGAAACACTAATCTAGAGATGGAAGAGGAGAGGTGAGGAGAGAGAGAGAGGGGCTCGGTTCCGTTCGATTCGGTTCGATTCAAATAGAAATAGCATACATATATACCTACCGAGGTGATTATTCAGTACTCCCGAAGTATGGACACGTGGTGCTCCATAATGTTTTGATTGGTGGAGAGACACAAGGGCCCACGATTTATGTTGGAGATGGGGGGACAACATGTGGCTAACTAATTGGTGATTGGTTTGGAGTATGGACACGTGGTGCTCCGGGAGTATTGAATAATTTCCCATACCTACCGAGGTAGTTTCGTTATTTTGTAAGAGCTTGGTTTTATGATCAAAATGTGTTAGTGTGAATCTTTGAAAAAAAAAAAATTCAAACTGGATTTATGAACAATGTTGTTTAAAAAAATTATATATTCAATAACAATGTTGTTTAACAAAACTCATCAAAATAAAGTCAAACCTTTCATGAATATAGATAATTGCAATATAGTAATTTTTGAATCAATTTATTCTCAAGTATCATTTCTAAAATTCAATTTTATAAGTCTCTTATTTTATGTTTTTTCTTTCTTTTGATTTCTTTATCACACCTATACAACTTTTAGAATGTTTGGTAATACATGAAAGAAAATAAAATAAAGATTACTTAACTAGAAAAAGGACCTATAAAAAATTTGTATTTTCTTTTCCTTTTAATTGAATATTGAAGAGAAATGATATAAAAATTTTCATATTTTGTTTGGTAAAAACTAGATATAAAGGGAAAGAAAAAACATAATTATATTAGATGAAATATCACGTTGGTTGCATGTTCACTGCCACGAGTAAGATAAAAGCGTTTCATCCCAATTCTATTTTTTGATACTGAGATCTCAATATAAGAGAACTTGACGGGCCCCGTAGAGCTCAACACGAGTCTTATTTTGATGATTCGAACCGGTCATTTTGTAAAGCCTACAATGTATATTATCTGTGAAAAAGATTAGTTCGATTCAAGAATCATAACTTTTTTATTTTATTACATTTGTCACAAAAAAAATGGACAACAAATATATATTTGAAGTAGACTATCTAATTTTTACAGACAAATGCGATAAAAATGAAAAGATTATGATTATTGAATCACTCTAAATTTTTTCATGATTAATATACATTGTGAGCCCTACAAAATAAACGGTTTAGATCATTAAACGAGACCAATGTTGAGCCCTATGAGTCCCTCAAGTTCTATCATGCTAAGATCTTAATATGAGAGAAGTCCAATCTTTTCATTTTATCTCGTTTTAATAATTCATATAAGTGATTAAGGCCAATAAGTTTATATATATATATATATATATTTTTCCTTTCAAATCATCTAATTCGAATAAGTTATTAGTTGAGAGAAAAAGAAATTGAAAATGATAATGGAAAGTGGAGAGGATTTAAATCCAAATTGGGTAAATTATACAAATAGTCACTATAGTTTACATGATGTGTCAATTTGGTCTATATAGTTTCAATTTACTTGATTTTGCCTTTTAATTTAACAGATTGTGTCGTTTTAGTCCAGTAAATAACGGTTGTTAAATTAATTTAACGGAAGGTCAAACAATGTGTCAATTTGGTCCATGTACTTTACACGATATGTCAATTTGGTCCAAGTAGTTTCAATTTTCTCGAGTTTGACAGGGACTAAATTGACACATTATGAAAAATACCGAGACCAAATTGACACATTGTTTGATTTTCCGTTAAATTAACTTAACAACTATTATTTATTAGACTAAAATGACATAATCCGTTAAATTAAGGGGCAAAATTGAGCAAATTGAAACTATATGGGCCAAATTGACACATCGTGTAAACTATAGGGACTATTTACATAATTTTTTCATCCAAATTTTATATGTGCTTAGTTATGAGAAGAAACTAAGATGGTAAAAAACAAATGGTCTCATTTTATTATTCTTTTAAGATCTAAAAATCAAATTTGACCCGTCTGTTAAATCAGTCACTTGACGTAATTCCAGTTTGGACGAACATAAGGATGATAGTTGGCTCGATTCATGGTTAACTCATTAAAAATTTGTTAAAACTCAATTCGTTAACAAACTTGAACACATTTTAAAACTCATTGTAAGAGGGGTTAAGTTGAGCCCATTAAATTAATTAGGCCCAATTGGAAAGCCCAAAAATTAGTGAGCTTGGAGAAATTATTGCCAAATCGGCCTAAATGAATTCTATTGAATGAGCCCATAAGAAAGCCAACAAATTGGGTCGAGGAAGACCCATCAAGCATATATCTCTAAAGAGAGTCCAACAAGCCCATCCGAGGATGCTCAGATCATACAGGCGTCTAAGAAGGTTAACCGTTACTTTCAAAATAGATGAAACCCCCAAAAAAGATCCATTCTTCGAGGTATTAGCTTAGTCTTGAAAGGGTTCAGAACCACGAACCTAGAGACCTATTTGAGCTCAGACTCAAAAGGGTTCGAATCCATAAATCTAGAGATTTGAAGCGCTTGGCTTCGAACGGATTCAGACACAATCTAGAAGCCATTCCATTAATGAGTCCCAGAATACTTGCTGGCTCGGAGCTT